GTTATTTTTGTCTTATAAAAGTACAGTTCTGCCTGCTGTAGGAGAACAGGTCCATGGGTAGGACCAAGATGGAACATGGAGAGGGAGAAGACGTGCCAGTCACTATTTTCATTGGGAAATAGAGTTTCTGTCTGGAGTGGTGAAGTAGAGATGAAGAATAGTGGATACACTAAAAAACTGTCAAGGGTTAGTCAACCTACAGTAAGTGGTGGACTGTCCAAAGCAGAGTTTAGTATTTGAAAATAGTACAATCTAAGATATGTATGCTCTGGAGGACCATGGGGATGTCCAAGGAGATTGAGGCAAAGAAGAAGCTTTCAAAGACAAAAGGAAGTGCATGTATGCCAGGTGTGGTGGCACATTCCTGTAATCTCAGAACCTGGGAGGTTGAAGCAGAGGATTGCTGTGTGTTCAAGGCCAGCCTGGACTATACAATGAGACTCTTGTCTTTAAAAAAAAAGTGTATGCAAGCTGTTTTAAAACTAAAACCATTAGCTATTGGTGTTTGTTGATAGTGTTTTCAAGTGTTAATATGCAAGTAGCTTGTCTTGAATACTTAGGCTTTAAAGAATTCCTTGCAGAGGGTCTGAGACCTGTTGTAGCTGTGTGGTCTGTTCTCTTATTTTGTATAATTGAATCTCAACTTCCCTATGGAAATTTATCCAGTTACACAGCACATAGTATTAACAGTAGCGTAGACCCCACCTTGTTCAGCAAGTAAAGAATTATGGGCTATTCTGTTATCTAAAACCAGTATAGCAGGATAATTTAATGAGTGCTGCTATGGGGAAATAAATAGCTTTTGCAGTGGAATTTGTAAGGATTCCTAGAATAATGGATAGGTTATTTTTCATTTCTTCATTGGCTATACCATACCATGATAGAAAAGAAACACTGTTCTATGTTCTACCAGGTGACTTACATTTCACCCTTAGGTGTGTGTGTTGGGAAGAGCAGTCTAATGATTACTCCAGTGATTCTTTTCAGATCTGTTGTCTCTTGACAAGCAAATAGTGAAATAACCTGTGAAAGAAGAGTCATACCTTGAGAGAGAGATGTGAGGTTGAAAGGGGTAGGTATGAAGAAGATTTTAGAAATGAACGAATGGTCTAGTTGAGTATAAGAAGTTGGTAAAAGCCAAGGAATAGTCATTAATGTAAGTTCATAGGGAAATGAGAGATAGATGAGCACAAAACCCATGTAGGAAGGGTTACCTTTAGACTGGAGAGAAGAATAGCATGGGAGAAAATACTGTTGTATACTTAGTGCTGTGAACATTAAACCAGAAGGTTGAGAGACTTATTCCAGAGTTTGACATTTTGTTTAACTAGTTTATCATTTTCTACTGCTAGCCTGGACAGTTGTGATCCTCCAGTTTTTCTCCCCAGACCCAAGCCAATGTCTGCAATAAATAATCTGGTTGTTTGGAGAAATGACCCAGTTTGGCACTCACTTGCACTCCCCCGCCTGCCCCCTGCACTGGGGATTGAACCCCAGGACTTCCTACTTGGCTAAATCCCCAGTCCTTTTTTATTTTGAGATGTCTCTTAGTTGCTTCAGCCTCCCAGAATGCTGTGATTACAGGACTGCATCGCCATGCCGGGTGCTATTTTCTTTGTTCCTTTTGTCAGTACTAGAGCTTCAAGAATGGTAGGCAAGTGCTTTTCCACTGAGCTACAGTCCAGCCCTGGTTGTTTGGAAAAATTAAATACTATGGGATCTTTTCCTCCTGTGTTCAGGGGACTTCATTTTAATTCTGCTATGGGGAGTTTGGTGAGAACTTCGGTTTCCACTTCTGATGACTTCTCCCCTTATATTAAATTAATTATAATAAAATTCTACAGGGAGAATAGCTGATAGAACTATCACTGACTAAAATGGATCCAGTAGTAGTCACATATCATGACCAGAAAAAAAAATTTGCTGCATCTTTTTCTTCAGATGAGTAGTTTTGAAAGCTAATACCCACATGTGACAAGATTCAAGAAGTACAAAACTGCATACACTACCATATCTTCTGTTCCTATTCATTCACAGTCCTTCCCAAGGCAGTTGATGTTACCAGTTTCTTTTTTCCTTCCAAAGAGTCTTTGCTTCTCTAGACACATATAAGTACAATTTTCCTTATTTACACAAACAATATAATGTATCTTTTTTGTTCATTGGAACTTTCATGAGAATTGTTTCATATCTCTATATAAAGAGCTTTCTACTCCCTACCCACACCCCTATGGAACCCAGGGTCTTGTGGGCTAGAGCTTTACCAATAAGGTGCATCCCCTACCAGGCTGAACTTTCTTATTCTTAATGGCCACATTGTTTGGACATACCATGATGATCTAAAAGATGTCATATTTATGTGGTTTTGACCACAATACTGATTACTTATTTAGGCAGCAGAAATTAAATCTCATTTAGTACTTACGTTTAAGGGAACTGAGATAATTGATGTACCATTTTGAAAATAATTGATATTGTCATTTCTTATAAAGAAAAGCAATTCAGGTTCATTTGTGCTAGTCACATAGTTTACTTCATGAAGAAACAAGAGATATACTCACTTTAATAAGTTTATTTTCAGAATTGAGCTTTTTATTGAACACATTACAGCAGAGATTTAGTCTAAAAAATCAAAGCAACGTTCTCACCAGGCTCCTCAGCATCTTTGTTTGCTTTACTCTTCAGGGGTGCAGTAGGAGTGGAGTGGGACAGGATCTTGTGCTGGTGCAATATCAGGTGCAGGAGTGGGTCCACCGACCTCTACATTGCAGGCACGAGGCTCCCCAGCTTGTCATTGGTCAGGGTCTTTGCAAACAAAATAAGCCAGAAAGGTTCAACATTTAACCAGCTGCTTGACAAGGGTGTTGATCTTATCCTGCATGGAGGGTTTCCTCCTCATCTTGCTGAATGACAGTAGGGTAGATATAGGCAAGCTCAGAGATCTGGGTCAGTACGAGTGTCCGGATGAAATGATGGCTTCACCCCAGCAAGGCTTCAGCTTTGTTGGAAGGACCAAGCATCTTGTCAGCAGTTGAGGAAAGAGACACAGCCTGGGGTACTTTCAGTTGTGGTACTTTGAAAAGGTCCCATGATGCCTTCTTTCAAAAATTCAAATATTTTTTGTTGTGCTTTATGGTTGATACTAACTTCATTTGAGTATATCAGATACTCAACTTTAGTGGAAAAAAAAAAAAAAAACTTCCAGAATATATAAATTCTCAACAGAATAATCATCTTATATTTTTATGAGTTAGAGAATTTTGAGATTATTTTTCATACCTGGGAGTAGTTTACTGTATATCTACAAATATTTTACTTCATGTTTATATTGCAAGCATACTTCATTTATGCTTTCAGTTTGTTGATTTAACTTTTACTCCCTCTGTTGGCTTTTGAAAGTGTTACATTCCTTTTGGAATAGTGTTAGGAAAAACATTTATGCTTATTTTCACTTAACTCAAAAATTAGTAGTGGTACAAATTATGAAGTAAGCTACACATGGAATTATTTTAATTAATAACCTTCCAGTGGCTGTGAATGTTCTGGTTTTCATGAGTGTGTTAAGGAAAGTATCAGTTAGCCTGTTTTATGAACAGTTGAAAAGGGTTATGACAAACAAAAGAAGGATTTTTCAGAGATTTTCTGCTTTTAGTTTGCCATAGATTGAACCGTCAGGACACTCTATGAAGTCAAGTGATAGATATGCCCTATTGCACCAACTATCATACCACCAAGATTAGTGTTTATATCTCTCTATGCCTTCTATAGCATCACATGTACAAGATACATGACTTGCTGTGTACATTGGGACAAGATACTGACTTGCTGTGTACATTCTTAGTGGCCTCTTTAAAAACCACCGGTCAGTGAAATTTGCACTGCATATAGATCACATGCTTTTGTGGTTAAAAGTTATGTACAGTTTCTTCATAGTTATGTCATTCACAGTTTGGGTAGGGATATTACGTTCTAAATTTAATATATGGTGTAAAATGTGTAAGGTGTTTTCTCGTAAGTCCCTTAAAGTCATTTGTAGAATGTTTTGGGTTTGCAAAGAAGTTGATAGTAGCTGTTATTTATGAAGTAGAACATCTATTTAAACACCAGAGTAACCGAATTTAACATGATTAGAATGATGTGGGAACTAGGAAGGGCTGAGGGAACAGCACAATCTGGTCTTTCTTCTTAATGCTCATCTGGAGCAACTCCTGTTGAGGGTGTCATACATGTGTAACTTCGGTTGGTCAATTGCATGTAGTTGAAGATTTGTTTTTTGTATTTTTGATAAAACATAGGTGTTTGTTTTCTCCCTCACTCCTTTTAGTATAAAAGTAATTATTCCAGGTAACGCATTGTTTTCTGGACTAGTTTATTTTGAAACATTCCTTTTAATTTGCACTAAAGTCAAGCATACATATTAACTTTATCAGAGTTTTGAAGATCCCTTTCTTTTTTTTTTGTCTTGTCTTTTTGAGACAGGGTCTTCCTATGCAGTTCAGGCTGGCCTTCAGGTCACTTTGTAGCCCAGGCTGGCCTGGAACTCCCAACGATCCTCCTGCCTCAGCCTCCCAAGTGCTGGGATTATAGGTGTGTGCCGCCATGCCTGGCTGAAGATCCCTTTCTTAAAGACATTATTTAAAGTTCTAAATTGGAGCCAGGTGTGATGGTGCATGTCTATAATCACAACACTCACTTGGGAAGCTGAAGGAGGCTGAGGCGGGAGAATTGCTTTGAGTTGGGGGTCAGCCTGGGCTATATAGTGTGTTTAGAGCCCGCCTGAGCAAGACCCTGTCTCGAAAACAATAGCAAAAACATAAACAAAAAGCCCCCCTGCCCCAATATCCTGAAAATCTTTATTTGGTAACTTGCTTAGCCTTGCAAGTTCAGTAATAGAGTATTACCACTTAGGAAAGTTGACATGTTGTGTTGATTAAATAATCTTCTATTTCTGTTTATTGATTTTGATTGTTTATTGATTTTTATTGATTGTTTTTGTACAGGTTGCTTTCCTGTTGCATCTTTGCTATCGTTTCCTAGATTTTGCTCCATGATTTAATTTGAAATTCTGAAATGAAGATGGAGGAGGCAGTGGGAAAAGTTGAAGAACTCATTGAGTCCGAAGTTCCACCAAAAACATCTGAACAAGAGACAGCCAAGGAGGAAGATGGATCTGTAGAACTGGAACCTCAAGTTCAAAAAGATGGTGCAGCAGATTCTACAGTTCTTTCTTCAATGCCCTGCCTATTGATGGAACTGAGAAGGGACTCTTCTGAGTCTCAGTTAGCGTCCACAGAGAGTGACAAGCCAACAACTGGCCGAGTTTATGAGAGTGACTCCTCTAATCATTGCATGCTTTCCCCTTCCTCTAGTGGTCACCTGGCTGATTCAGATACACTGTCTTCTGCAGAAGAGAATGAACCGTCCCAGCCAGAAATAGCAGTAGAAGGTGACCCTTCAGGAGTGTCTGGCGCCACAGTTGGGCGCAAGTCTAGGCGGTCCCGTTCTGAAAGTGAAACATCTACCATGGCTGCCAAGAAAAACCGGCAATCCAGTGATAAACAGAATGGCCGAGTTGCCAAGGTTAAAGGTCATCGGAGCCAAAAGCACAAGGAGAGGATCAGACTACTGAGGCAGAAACGGGAGGCTGCTGCAAGGAAGAAGTACAACCTGCTGCAGGACAGCAGTACCAGTGACAGTGACCTGACTTGTGACTCAAGCACGAGCTCATCAGATGATGACGAAGAGGTTTCAGGGAGCAGCAAGACAATCACTGCAGAAATACCAGGTAGAGGATGTTTTTTAAACTGACTGTAAAGCACCCGATGACATTTCTCAGCTGTCAGACTCAGTTAGATGAGAGACACTTGAAAAAATCCAAGAGACCTGCAGCTCTGTGTAAATTTGAAGAGTGCAGTCTGTTAGCAAGACATTGCTAGTTATTTATAAACAAAAAGCCCTGTTCTTAGGTTTCCTGTGCACTTTAGCACATCAGAAAAAAAATTATTTATGTGATTAATGATAGAGACAAGATTATTTTTAAATAATGGAATCTCTCACGAGTCTCTTTCTCTGTTAACACATTACCTAAGCTCCCATCATTGCCTTTTCAGCACTGCTTAGATTTAATTCTCACTGTTAGCGTTATTATGAAGTATGTTTTCCTCAGGAATAGGCACCTTGCTTTCTTATGTAGCCACTGCACTTGAGCTTGTGGTGTCTGAAGTAATATTCTACCTTTCGTTGAAGTTTTGTAATAACTTTTCTTCCTAAAACAGTAATTTTGTGTGTTTTCTCCCTGATTCAATGAATGATAAGCTAGTTATCGTTGTTGCACATTTTTCTATCCTAAGTTTTCACTCACATTGGAATGAATGGCTTTTACAAATTTTTTCTTTAGTTCCCTGAGCTTTAAAAAGTTTGTTAGGAATTTGCTTGTTCCAACTTCCATTGGTGTAGGGATCTGTAATTTATTACGTTTGACCTAACCTCTTTCTGCATATTATTATCTTTGATACTGTGCATTATGGCAGTCTTGAGACTTTATAGTGGAAAAAAGATGATATCTGACTGGTTCATCAGTGGTAAATTGTCATTATCCGAGAGACTCTTAACGTGATTAGGAACATTTTATAGGTTGCATAGTGTTTAATACATTGTGACAGCATTGTTTATGCTGCATTAAAGAGGGGGAAGTTTGGTTTTCTAAAGTTTTATAGGTGACTTTTCCCCCCTAGTTTTCTGTTTCTACATATGAAGACAGCATATTGCTGATTTACAAAGAATATTGCAAGCAAAATCATATTGGTTAATTAAACCTATAACTAACCAAACTTATAAACTGAAGAATGATTGGTTTTAAAAACACTTTGTAGGTGTTCAACTTAAAATAATAAAAGTCTCATCCATGTAGCATATTAAATATGAGTTTTAAACAGTCTTTAGAAATGCCTCTTACTATGTATTGAATTCCTTTGGTAGTCTCTTGTATTAAAACTACTGGGTATGGAATTTAAATGAAGCTCATGAGAGAAGTGAACTTTGGGGTTTGTTCTAAATAACAAAGCAGACTTTGTTCTAAGGCATGTTGTAGGTGTATTTTAGTTTTATGTTTAATAATATTTTTTAAGTAAGCCTTATTAGCATCTGTAAAATTCTTATATCTTATTCTGATCTGTTAATCAAGATTTTGATGGATCTCTTTAATAATGTTTAATTCCACTTACTAAGCAGGTTTTTAATGTACAACCCTAATTTCTTGACTTTTATGGGAAGAGAGAAGGTGGGTGACCAGAATTTTCTTTGAAGATAGAAACTCATTGTAAAGATGAAGTGAAGAATGCCTTGATGAGCCTCTTTCTTTTGGGCTTACACAGATAGATTGGGTGTGGTTTGTTCCTATTTGATTACCTTGATCATTGTTTAAAACTTCTAAATATCAGTAGTTTATTTCTTATCTATTCAGATTATATACAGTATTGATCAAATACCAAAGTAAAATAATATGAATTTATAATTTAGTTTCTATTTTTTATGCCACTTAGTAAGGTTTTGACTTCTGAAAATGTGTAGAGTTTCTAAGGTAGAGTTTCTGTGGAAACTCAAATGGTAGACTAAGGTACATGACCATTGTATATGACTGCCTGTGCTGTGTACTGCAGTTTTGGAAGAAGTGCCAGTCACATAAGACAAGGTCTGTTCTGTAATTATGCAAAGATGGAACAACCTAGAGTTTAAATATCAGAAACTTCAGGTTATATGTCCATTTTGGTATATCTGAAAAATTGTGACATTGTACAGTTTTAATGTATCAGTTATGTTTATTTTAGTTTGTTGAGTCACATTATGACTTCCAGCTTGAGGGGAGGCACATTCAACCTATAGCAAGAGCACTTGTTGAACAAGTGGTATCTTTTTTTTGGAGACAGGTTCTCAATATGTGTTCAGGCTGGCCTTGAACTCACTCTGTAGCCCAGGTTGGCCTTGAATTCATGGTGATCCTCTGCCTCAGTCTCTTAAATGCTAGGATCACAGCCATGCGCAACTATGCCCGGCTGAAGAGTTGATTTTTTTTTTTTTTTTTAAAGAAATCTGTTAGTATGTTTGTAGTGTATAATGATTACATCATTCCTGAGAGTTGGTACATGTACCTGAGACATCTTAATTCTCTTTTCATCCCTTTCCCCCTACCTCTCTGCCCTGCAAAATTGTGTTATGAACTGATTTGAATGCAACATTGTAGACATTGAGGTGGACTTAAACGGGATGTGCCTAAGAGAATCTCTTAGGTGTGGAAATTTGAACCCAGCTGTTTATACAGAGTAGAAACCAAGTGGAAGAGTAAAAACAGAGATTCTTACTATAATATTTCATCAAGATACAACCAATTTAGTAATTCAGAAAATGCTTTATTTATAAGCTTTTGGCAGCAACTTAAAAGTTGAAAATGCCTAAATATAGTCTTAAAACAAGTAATAATTAGTGCATTTTCTTAGTGCAAATATGCAGACTAATACAGTGCATGATCATACTTAATTTATTTTGATATACAGGCAACAAATGTTTATGAAGTTGTCTTTTTAAAAAATACTTAACTGACAGTATGAGCACTACATATACCATTTTCTTGAAGTTTTTGGAAATATATGTTACAAGAATATTTGGAGGTATCATATCAAGATGATTCTGGCAGTGCTTTTATTTGGGGGACAAAGATGAGCAGAGTATTTTATAGTATTATAGTGTTTTATATTGTGTTAGTGTAAAAATACTGTGTGGTAGTTATCTTGAATATTTAAGCCTTTTATCCACTGTCTGATCTTCATAGAGTTTTTAATATACTTTATATATTTCCAAGTTTTAGGACTGGAGCATTCTTTTTCATAGGGGGACCAGTTTCTCTGTACAGTCACTTTTGAGACTAGCTCTGGAAGTCTGCTGTTGGGAAGGCTTTGATTTTAGTTTATATATGTATGAATAATGAGCATTACACTTCAGTCAGCTCAGTAAGTTAATTCTCTGAACAAAAGTGTGCATCAGTATACATGAACAGCTGGAAAAAGTTTTTCCAGTAACTGTTGCTTTTCATAAATACTTAGCATAGTGTACCTCAGCTCAGGATAGCTTCATCTTATCTTGGCTATAATGGCCTGCAATTGTATGGACTGATGGTCTACCTTACAAATGCCTATTTAGACTTAAGTTCCAAAAATAGTACCTATCATAGTAGGTAACAGTCAGTTGTTTTAGCTGTTACCTTTTTTAGAGAATGTCAGGGAGGCTATTGAAGACAGCTGTCTAAAACCACCTGAGTTTTCAGTCCACATGACCAGGCCTGACTGGCTCAGCCCTGGAGCCAGGATCTCAGCACTCACTATTCACCATATATTTATGCACTGATATGTATCATGACAAAGTATGGTTTTTGATCAGTTAACTGTTGCATGGAATTAAAAAAAAAAACTTTTCTAAAAAAAGTTGTAAATCCTTTGTAGAAATATTTAGAAACAGAAAAATATGAAGTAGAAGGTTTAAATTATCCATGATTACGCATTTGCTGACATTTTCCTATGTTGCCTTCCATAATGTAAGAATTTTCATGTTGGATATGCTTCTGCATTCTTTTTCCTTTTAGCATAACTTTTTGAGCCTTGAATCAAAACACTAAATATTGTGTAGAATATTTGGACTCTGAATAATTTAACTATAAAAGTAACTTCCCTAATATTGCTCATTTGGGATGTTTAAATTTTGCTCTTATGAGTAAGAGTATGAACACTTAAGGCTGATGACCATATACTACTGTACTATTCCTTTAAAAATACATGACTTTTTCCATCTAGGAGTTTGCTTTTTATGCATTATGTTCTTCCTACTACATGTGTATTTCTAAAAAATCTTGCTGATTTGGTAGAAAAATCATATCTTAAAGTTAATATATATTTCTTTGATCAGTAATGAAGTTGAAAAGTGATGTTTGGGTTTTTGTATTAACAGTCCTTTTAAGTTTTTTTTGCATGTTTTCCTCCTTGTGGATATATTTTTTCCTTATTAATTTGTGTGTTCTTAACCTATAGGGATTTGTTTGGAAAAGTTGTAATTTATTTTAGGCAGTGGCAGCTAATAGTGAAAGATAAGGCCCTAAGACCACATAGAGCATCCCATGAAACACAATGATTGATAGACCTTTTTCCTAGACTGAATATGAACTGACTCGGTGGCTAAAAGCCCTTGTCCCTATTATGAGCCTTTTGTAAACTGATTGTATTTTGGTAGCTATTTAGGAGACTCAGTAGATATATTGATACATTATTTGGAGACAGAATAATATCAGGTACACTGTCTATTTTCAGCTTAATACAAACCAGATAGATAAAATTCATGCAGTTTTTTAACTTGACTATACATTAGAATCCTTAGGGGTGTGTGTGTGTGTGTGTGTCGGGGGCAGTCAGGTATTGAAAACTTCTTATGCTCTGGCCCCTTTCCAGCCCAGTTAAGTCAGAATATTTGGGCTTTGATCTCAGGCAGCAGCATTTTTAAAGCTCTCTGGTGATGACGGTGAGCAGTGAGGGCTGGGAGCTACTCAGGTAAGTTGCAGGTGAGCGGATACTGTGACACACACCTGTAGCCTCAGCTACTTAGGAGGCTGAGGCAGGAAAATCCTTTCAGCCCAGGAATTCAGGGCTAGCCTAGGCAGCATAGTAAGATACCATTTCAAGGGGGAGAAAAAAGAAGGAAAAAGAAATGATACATTAAGTCTCATAGATAAACATCATTGTGAAACTG